CGTATTTTTTAGGTACAAATAAGTGCCCGTTTGTTGGTAGTAAAATGAACTTTTTTTTTCAAAATGCTCGCTAATTTAACAAAAAATAAATATTTTCAAAATCCCCTACGTATTTCTATAGCTATACTAATGTAGTTTAAGAAAAAAATTTTTATTTTGTTCCAGATTAATTTTTGCTGCACTTCTCTGCGTGCCGCGGAGCCCCTACCAAAAAAAACCGTTCCGCAGAAACGGCTGTTGGGCAGCCTATTTTGTAATATTTTTAATAAACTAAAATTTTTTTAAAACTTCAAAACATGCTTAACAACATCCTTAAAAAGAATTACCCTTTTACTTTTCCTTCCACTTAAAAAAAATCGCAAAAAAACGTTAAATTTTCGCTCTCTACTGTGGTGTAACCCCTGAAGGCACTCCAAAGGATAAAAAAAGTGTATGTATTATATATTAATTTTGCAACATTTTTGCAACATTTTAATTATTTAATTATATACATACATTTATATTCTAATTTCTGTAAAATACTTTTATTCATGTGTTTCATGTATATTATGTGCTCTATATTATATATATTTACTTCAAAATATCTATGTAAAAAGTTAATATCATTTTGTATATGTATATATTTTTATAATAAATGAATACGTCATATAACTTATATTATGTATAAATAAGTTATATGACGTATGACATATGTCATATAACTTATTTATAAAACATGAAATTGTGACGTGACGCTTTCCGTCGCGCCCGTCACAAGGGCACTAGCCCGGCCAAAGGGGGCGGAATTTGGAGTCGCGTCCCCGGTCAAGGAGGGAGCGATTTCTCCCGCTTCGACGGGTCTTGCGCTTTTATTTAATTGTTATAATCTACCGACAAACTTAAGATTTTGGCGTTAGGGTGTATGGCCAATTTATCGTTTTGTGTAACTAACGTCAAGAAGAAGCGAACGCCGTGGGATTTCGAAAGATGACCTCGACAGTAAAGAGGAAGCCCGGAAAACATACGAAACCAAGGTCATGTATCGAGTCTCGCGTTAAACATTGTCATAGTAGCAGTTACCGATCCTCCAATTTTGCAGGACCGAGGTTACGGGGAAGCCCCGACAAAGGTCCAGATAGAGGGAGCACGGCAGTGCAACCGGATGCCGAAAGACGTTGCCGCCATCACCGAGAGTCCAAACAGACGGTCGATGTAGCCATAGCCTGGCCAGCCGGGCAGATCGAACCGGAGGACGGCAAATTTAGAGG